GCTATGCTATGGTGATAATAGTGTTAGGGTTAGCTATGCTATGGTGACTCTAGGGTTAGGCTTAGCTAGTTTATGGTGACTGTAGGGTTAGGCTTAGCTATGCTATGGTGACTGTAGGGTTAGGGTTAGCTATGCTACGGTGACTGTAGGGGTAGGGTTAGCTAGTTTATGGTGACTGTAGGGTTAGGCTTAGCTATGCTATGGTGACTGTAGGGTTAGAGTTAGCTATGCTATGGTGACTGTAGGGGTAGGGTTAGCTATGCTATGGTGACTGTAGGGTTAGGCTTAGCTAGTTTATGGTGACTGTAGGGTTAGGCTTAGCTATGCTATGGTGACTGTAGGGTTAGGGTTAGCTATGCTACGGTGACTGTAGGGGTAGGGTTAGCTAGTTTATGGTGACTGTAGGGTTAGGCTTAGCTATGCTATGGTGACTGTAGGGTTAGAGTTAGCTATGCTACGGTGACTGTAGGGGTAGGGTTAGCTATGCTACGGTGACTGTAGGGGTAGGGTTAGCTATGCTATGGTGACTGTAGGGGTAGAGTTAGCTATGCTATGGTGACTGTAGGGGTAGGGTTAGCTATGCTATGGTGATAATAGTGTTAGGGTTAGCTATGCTATGGTGACTCTAGGGTTAGGCTTAGCTAGTTTATGGTGACTGTAGGGTTAGGCTTAGCTATGCTATGGTGACTGTAGGGTTAGGGTTAGCTATGCTACGGTGACTGTAGGGGTAGGGTTAGCTAGTTTCTGGTGACTGTAGGGTTAGGCTTAGCTATGCTATGGTGACTGTAGGGTTAGAGTTAGCTATGCTATGGTGACTGTAGGGGTAGGGTTAACTATGCTATGGTGACTGTAGGGTTAGAGTTAGCTATGCTATGGTGACTGTAGGGTTAGGCTTAGCTAGTTTATGGTGACTGTAGGGTTAGGCTTAGCTATGCTATGGTGACTGTAGGGTTAGGGTTAGCTATGCTACGGTGACTGTAGGGTTAGGGTTAGCTATGCTATGGTGACTGTAGGGGTAGGGTTAGCTATGCTATGGTGACTTTGGGAAACTCCTCCAACTCCCATTGTCATTGTGACACAGCACACACAAGTGAACACTGCACACCATGAAATTGCATTTATGCCTCACCCGTGCAAGGGGGCAGCCCTCAATGGCAGTGTGGCGGGACGGTACCATGCTCAGGGTACCTCAGTCATGGAGGAGGATGGGGGAGAGCGCTGGTTAATTACTCCCCCCACCAACCTGGCGGGTCGGGAGTCGATCCGGTAACCTTTGGGATCCAAGTCTGACACCCTAACCGCTCACCCACAATCGTGGGCAGTCGTGGGTGAGGGTTAGGGTTAACTATGCTACGGTGACTGTAGGGGTAGGGTTAGCTATGCTATGGTGACTCTAGGGTTAGGCTTAGCTATGCTATGGTGATGGTAAGTTTATTGTCGGGTTTTTTGTCATGTCCCCATTACTGACATAACAACCTATGTAGCATAACAGCATCATGTTTGCCACAGTTTGTGGTGACATGCAGTCAAAGTGGGATTTTTCAGATGTGGCATCAAAACGGCTAGATGGTGTGCATGTGTTGCTTAGCAACAGCCACATAGCCTGTTGTCCTCATTAGCATGAGAGCTCAGTGTAGCAGCCTGGCTTTTAAAGCAGCACTGAGCTGAAGGGAACAGGAAAATGGAGCTGATGTGCAGGCAGAGAGAGCCGCCATCATTACAGAGCAGGTTGTTGGGGTTAGGTCTGTCAGGTCTGAGCAGACAGTCTACAACTAGGGTGGTCATTTCTTTATCACCAAAAAGGAAGACATTATGCAGCATAGCATTAAAATACTAAGGGGAAAAAACAAATCTTGCATACTCTTATTAATAGTACAATTTTGAAGGGTTTCAAGAGGATGCTTCTGTAGCTGAATGTGGAAATATATGAATGAAAATTACTGGTTCATAGTATTTGTATTTACTAAATACATTGTGGTGTTCAAAAATTATCACTGAGATCAATATTTCAAACTGTAGAAATCCACAAAGCATAACATGTGGATTTAAAGGTTAAATACACACTGCCTGGCCAAAAAAAATGTCGCCACCATAAAAAAGGTCATTCACTCTAATACTTTGTTGGACCGCATTTAGCTCTTTACAGCACGCATTCACTGTGGCGTTGTTTCGATAAGCTTCTGCAATGTCAAAAGATTTATTTCCATCCAGTGTTGCATTAATTTTTCACCAAGATCTTGCATTGATGATGGTAGAGTCTGACCGCTGCGCAAAGCCCTCTCTAGCACATCCCAAAGATTCTCAATGGGGTTGAGCTCTGGACTCTGTGGTGGCCAATCCATGTGTGAAAATGATGAGTCATGCTCCCTGATCCAGTCTTTCCCTATTTGAGCTCGATGAATCCTGGCATTGCCATCTTGGAATATAACCTGGTCATTCAGTATATTCAGGTAGTCAGTTGACCTCATTCTTTGAGCTCATACTGTTGCTGAACCTAGACCTGAGCAACTGCAGCAACCCCAGATCATAACACCGCCCCCACAGGCTTGTACAGTAGGCACTAGGCATGGTGGGTGCATCACTTCACCTGCCTCTCTTCTTACCCTGATTGGCCCATCACTCTGGAACAGGGTAAATCTGGACTCATCAGACCACATGACCTTCTTCCATTGCTCCACAGTCCAAACTTTATGCTCCCTGCAAACTGAAGCCTTTTTCTCAATGATTAGTGGTTTTCTTACGGCTACAGAGCTGTTCAGTCTCAGTCCCTTGAGTTCCCTTCCCATTGTGCGTGTGGAAATGCTCTTACTTTCAGTATTAAACATAGTCCTGAGTTCTACTGTTGTTTTTCTACCATTTGATCTCACCACACGTTTAAGTGATCGCCGATCACCATCATTCAGGATTTTTTTCCGGCCACATTTCTTCCTTGAAGATGATGGGTCCCCACTATCCTTCCAGTTTTTAATAATGCGTCGGACAGTTCTTAACCCAATTTTAGTAGTTTCTGCATCTCTTTAGATGTTTTCTCTGCTTGATGCATGCCAATGATTTGACCCTTCTCAATCAGACTAACATCTTTTCCACGACCACGGGATGTTTCTCTCCACATGGTTGTTTAGGAAATGAGAAGCAAGTCATTGCACCAGTTGGGGTTAAATAACTTGTTTCCAGCTGAAAGATAATCGCCCATGCAGTGATTATCCAATAGGAGGCTCCTACCTGTTTGCTTAGTTGAATCCAGGTGGCAACTTTTTTTTGGCCAGGCAGTGTATATATATATTTAAATACATAATAAAAAAGCCTAATATTTATTTAAACAACAAAAAATTTGTTTCTAAAGTTCTTCAGTGTACTTTAAGGTTTAGCTGTGGGAGAGTCCCTGAAAATCTCCACAGTCTCCACTTCTGTAGGACTGCTAATGTTTTACAGTCTGTCAACCTTGCAGCTCTGCAGCAGTTATTTAAGCATCCAGGGCGAACAAAACGTCATGAAATAAAGCACTCATTGACGAGCTACCTCCCGCACGTTTATTACTTTTATGCTAATCCATCCTCACATGTTTTTAAACTGCAGCTTTTCCTCAACCAAGTCTGCAGAAGTAATAGTTTCTTGCTCTTTTGTCTGTTCAGTCTTGGCATGATGCTAACTTTCTATTAATGTCCTTAGCAGCACTCTAATGCCTGTGTGCTTATCTAACCAATGACACGCAGATATTAATCTGACACGGCACCACTCTAAATGCCTGGTTATCCTCCCGCAGCAGTGTGTTGCAGTTAGCATGTTGCAGGTATGACGCAGATATCTTAGATTTATGCCCAATATTGAAGCCTGGTCTGCGCTATGTTATTCCACGCCACAACGCCAGAGGGACAATCAGGAACTAGCTAGGATGGTGGGTGGCGTGTTTCTCTTCCAGTTACGGAGGTCATTCAACAACAATGGAGACTGCAGCGATGCGCACATTGACTGAGATGCAGCTGATCCATCTAGAAATAGAAGACCATGCAGACTCGCTCTTCTAGCTGGTCCATCTTCATCAGTCCTTTTCCTCAATGGCGGTCATATGAACAAAACAAGCCGGTAAGGTACCAAACAGGAAATACGCATAGTGTAGAGCGGAAGTGGATTTGACCAATCAGAGGCCCCCTGTGTGCGGCACGGTCTGCGGTCAGCTACAGCTGAGAGGTGCAGCAGAGTGTCTGTTGAGGGGGCGGGGCATGTCTGCGTTAACTGCGACACACATGCAGACGACCTGGTTTCTGAGCATAAACCAGGCTTTAGCCAATCATCTGTTAGAACAGATAGTCAATGCATTTTTTACATTCTATGAGTGGATATTGGGCTACAGCGCAGCAAAAATGGAAATAAGGCTTTAAGCCCAGTTCCCTAATAAGGGAGGACAACTATGCGTCCCGCTGGACATTTGACAGTGCAATGAAAATCACCAACATCATCTTCTTGTTTCATTGGCTTCATTTTCATTCCTATTCTGCTTTGTTGTCTGGTTCCTCATCCTGATGAGTCCCGCTGTGTCTCTCGGCTCTGACATCACTAATGCCATCACAGGGACACCAGGCTGGTCAGAGCTTTGCATACACGAAACACAAGCATGGGATGAACCAGTCAATGGATCATTGAGATGACCCAATGAGTCATCATGAGTCATTCTGACCATCTTCATCACTCTCAGCGTGATGCTTGGATATGCCCCCTTAACCCCAACCAGGGGCCCCAGGACCTAAAGCACTGTCAGACAGCACAGGGGCCCTGGATCATAGGCAGCGACCTTATGGCAGCCACTGGTTTGGCCCGGTCGGGCTGGGCTTGGGAAACCTTTGCCTCCCCAGGAGCTACCGGCTAACCTTTCCTAGATCCGTATGTCCAGAAATGGTGTTCATGATGCAGAAGTTCAGAGGTCAGCAGGCAGACATGGTAGAAACGGGTAGTCCCGCCTGCTCTGACCGACCTGCTGTCTTGTTGTCTGTTTGATCCCTCAGCTGATCAGCGACGGCAGCGTGGTGTACGCCGAAGCCCTGTGGGACCACGTCACCATGGACATCCAGGAGCTAGGCTTCAAGGTCGGTGATGTCATCGAGGTCATCGACGCCACAAACAAGGAGTGGTGGTGGGGCCGCATCGTGGAAAGCGAGGGCTGGTTTCCTGCCAGCTTTGTTCGGGTGAGTGATCCAGAACCGTTTCCTGACGCCTGGAGCCTCAGCTGCTCTTTAGGTGCTGACGCTGCCTGTGTGTTACCTCTGTTCACATAGCTGCGGGTGAATCAGGACGAACCCATGGAGAAGTTCTCCAGCCACCTGGATGAGGCCCAGTGTGGAGAGCAGGACCTAGCCGCTCTGGGCCGGCTGCTAGGACCTGGATTACCCTGCAAAGAGGAGATGAGGGCCAACGTCATCAACGAGATCATGAGCACGGAGCGGGACTACATCAAGCACCTGAAGGACATCTGTGAGGTGAGTGACCGGCTGAGTCTAGAACAGACGCTTAGGAACCAGAGATACCAGCTTAGAGCAGCTTCCCGTGTTCAGGTCATTTCTAAGTTTCCGTGTGAGGTTCTGCAGCCTGGTTTTGATGTGGAACCCTCCCTGACCTAACTTGGCCAGGTTAGTATCAGCTAAGAGCCGCCTTCCATAATACGCTTTCAGCCAATCGTAGCAGCGAATCGGGATGTTTCAGTGGATTAAGGTGATCAATCAAATCCTTTGGGAAGAAAAATACAGACATCTTTTCCATCAAATGCACAAAGTGCTTCTTTGCTCCTTTTTAAAACTAGAAATTGTTGGTATTTTAGCTAAAACCAAGCTAGAATTGCGATATCAACAGGTGAGTCCTCCAGCGTAGCCATGTTTGCCCTTCTGACTGTCCTCATTCTTACATGCCCCGCCCCTAAAAACACTGCTGGCCTCTCATTGGTCCGACCCGCTGATTGTTACAAGACAGACGTATTACCGGGGGCCTTTCAAGATAGGAGCTGTTGTGAGACTCAAAACTCAGATCTTGCAACAATCCAGTTTGCAGAGCAAAGTTATTCCTCACCTGGTCTCACGCAGTTTTATGGTTCCTACCAGCCCTGTTCTGGTAGGAACAATCCATGGTGCAGGCCATCTCAGCCATCTTTGAGCCTTGTTCCGCTCCTACCCTGGTTCTGCTCTGACCCTGGTTCTAGTTCTGCTCTGACCCTGGTTCTAGTTCTGCTCTGACAATGGTTCTAGTTCTGCTCTGACAATGGTTCTAGTTCTGCTCTGACCCTGGTTGTGGTTCTGCTCTGACCCTGGTTGTAGTTCTGTTCTGACCCTGGTTGTAGTTCTGCTCTGACCCTGGTTCTGCTCTGACACTGGTTCTAGTTCTGCTCTGACCCTGGTTGTAGTTCTGCTCTGACCCTGGTTCTGCTCTGACACTGGTTCTAGTTCTGCTCTGACCCTGGTTGTGGTTCTGCTCTGACCCTGGTTGTAGTTCTGCTCTGACCCTGGTTCTGCTCTGACACTGGTTCTAGTTCTGCTCTGACCCTGGTTGTAGTTCTGCTCTGACCCTGGTTCTGCTCTGACACTGGTTCTAGTTCTGCTCTGACCCTGGTTGTGGTTCTGCTCTGACCCTGGTTGTGGTTCTGCTCTGACACTGGTTCTAGTTCTGCTCTGACCCTTGTTGTGGTTCTGCTCTGACCCTGGTTGTAGTACTGCTCTGACCCTTGTTGTGGTTCTGCTCTGACCCTGGTTGTAGTACTGCTCTGACCCTGGTTGTAGTACTGCTCTGACCCTGGTTGTAGTTCTGCTCTGACCCTGGTTGTAGTTCTGTTCTGACCCTGGTTCTAGTTCTGCCCTGACCCTGGTTGTAGTTCTGCTCTGACCCTGGTTGTAGTTCTGCTCTGACCCTGGTTCTGCTCTGACCCTGGTTGTAGTTCTGCTCTGACCCTGGTTGTAGTTCTGTTCTGACCCTGGTTGTAGTTCTGCTCTGACCCTGGTTGTAGTTCTGCTCTGACCCTGGTTGTGGTTCTGCTCTGACCCTGGTTGTAGTTCTGCTCTGACCCTGGTTCTAGTTCTGCCCTGACCCTGGTTGTAGTTCTGCTCTGACCCTGGTTCTGCTCTGACCCTGGTTGTAGTTCTGCTCTGACCCTGGTTCTGCTCTGACCCTGGTTGTAGTTCTGCTCTGACCCTGGTTGTAGTTCTGTTCTGACCCTGGTTCTAGTTCTGCCCTGACCCTGGTTGTAGTTCTGCCCTGACCCTGGTTGTAGTTCTGCTCTGACGCTGGTTCTAGTTCTGCCCTGACCCTGGTTCTAGTTCTGCCCTGACCCTGGTTGTAGTTCTGCTCTGACGCTGGTTGTAGTTCTGTTCTGACCCTGGTTCTAGTTCTGCCCTGACCCTGGTTCTAGTTCTGCCCTGACCCTGGTTGTAGTTCTGCTCTGACGCTGGTTGTAGTTCTGTTCTGACCCTGGTTCTAGTTCTGCCCTGATCCTGGTTCTAGTTCTGCCCTGACCCTGGTTGTGGTTCTGCTCTGACCCTGGTTGTGGTTCTGCTTTGACCTTTGTTGTGGTTCTGCTTTGACCTTGGTTGTAGTTGTGCTCTGACCTTGGTTCTGGTTCTCTCAGGGCTACATCAAACAGTGCCGGAGGAGGACAGACATGTTCAGTGAGGAGCAGCTTCGGACCATCTTTGGCAACATTGAGGACATCTATAGGTTCCAGAGGAAGTTCCTGAAGGGCCTGGAAAGAAGGTTTAACCAAGATCAGCCCCACCTCAGCGAGATCGGCTGCTGCTTCCTGGAACACGTGAGTTCCTGCTTCCAGTTCAGCCTCCCTCAGACGGGGCACCCCTACTGGAGGTAGGCCTCCTGACTGCCTATCTCTTCTGTCCAGCAAACAGATTTCCAGATTTACTCCGAGTACTGCAACAACCACCCCAACGCCTGCGTCCAGCTCTCCAGGCTGATGAAAGTCAACAAGTATGTGTTTTTCTTCGAGGCCTGTCGGCTGCTACAGAGGATGATCCACATCTCCTTAGATGGCTTCCTGCTCACCCCGGTGCAGAAGATCTGCAAGTACCCTCTGCAGCTGGCCGAGCTCCTCAAGTACACCAACCCCCAGCACAGGTGACTGGCTGAGCGGAACCCGTCAGAACCTAGAGCCGGGTAGAACCGTCCACAACCTAGTGTTAATATAACCCAACAGGTCTGTTGAGATGTTTTCTTTAGCAGAACCGCTCTAACCTTCCAAAACCCTCCATTTTAAAGGGTTTACATATTATAACTCAGAAAGCATGACATTTCCAGCGGTAAAATGTTTACCATTATTAACATGTTAGACATCTTTGGAAAGCTTAGATTCTCCACAATTCAACCACCTAGTTCATTTTTTGGACATAGCGAGCACCAAAGCACAATCACAGCAGCATGTCATACTGTAGCATGACAAAGCAGCCCTAACAAGCAAGCATGTCTTTATTACTGCTGTTCAAAAATGACCTATTGATTTGGCGAATAAAAAAATAACTTTGAGTCTTGTTTGAACTGATGCAGCTTGGATATTTTACTCACCGAAGTTTCATGTATATATTCAGAATCTAGAAGGTGTTAGCTTTCAAATAACGTATCACACATGTTATTTGGGCTTACAGTTACTCAGTTATTTGCTTTTCCATTTGGGTATGCAAAATAGGCGAATTTCCCAGAAATGAGGTGGATAATAAGAGGCTAAAGCATGGTAAACATTTAGTTTTCATGTGGGTTCTGCACTCGGTCGGGTTCCCCCTCCTCGAAGTAGAAACGGACCAGAATCAGCTCTCCTGTTCTCTGTAGATCAGGTTTTTGTGATCTAGATCTAGAGCAACCTGTTCAGCCATCTTTGTCATCCAGAATGACAGACGTTTTCCCAAAGGAAGCTTAGAGTTTGAGCTTGTTCGCTGAGGTTTTATTGGCTCCTCTTGCGGTTCAGCCTAGTATTCATTGATTCAGTCATCCATTCCATAAAATAGAATAATAAAATAGAATGAAATTATATATAATAAGGTCTAGACAGACCAATCTAGATCAGCAAGTCTAGATGAACCGGTCTAGATGACTCAGTTTAGATGAACCAGCCTAGATGAATCGGTCCAGATAAACCAGCGTAGATGACTTTGTGTAGATGAACCAGTCTAGATGAATCGGTCTAGATCAACCAGTCTAGATGAATCGGTCTAGATGAACCAGTCTAGATGAATTGGTCCAGATGAACCAGCCTAGATGACTCGGTCTAGACTAACCAGTCTAGGTGAACCAGTCTAGATGATTTGGTCTAGATGAATCGGTCCAAATGAACCAGTCCAGATTAATCGGTCTAGATGAACCAGCCTAGATGACTTGGTCTGGAAGAACCAGTCTAGATGAATCTGTCTAGATCAACCAGTCTAGATGAATCGGTCTAGATGAACCAGTCTAGATGAATTGGTCCAGATGAACCAGCCTAGATGACTCGGTCTAGACTAACCAGTCTAGGTGAACCAGTCTAGATGATTTGGTCTAGATGAATCGGTCCAAATGAACCAGTCCAGATTAATCGGTCTAGATGAACCAGCCTAGATGACTTGGTCTGGAAGAACCAGTCTAGATGAATCTGTCTAGATTAACGAGTCTAGATGAATCGGTCCAGATGAACCAGCCTAGATGACTCGGTCTAGATTAACCAGTCTAGGTGAACCAGTCTAGATGAATCGGTCCAGATGAACCAGTCTAGATGAATCAGTCTAAATGAATCGGTCCAGATGAACTAGTCTAGATGACTCGGTCTAGATTAACCAGTCTAGGTGAACCAGTCTAGATGAATCGGTCCAGATGAACCAGTCTAGATGAATCAGTCTAAATGAATCGGTCCAGATGAACTAGTCTAGATGACTCGGTCTAGATGAACCAGTCTAGATGAATTCTGTCTACATGAATCTGTCCAGATGAACCAGCCTAGATGAACCGGTCTAGATGAATTGGTCTAAATTAATCAGTCCAGATGAACCAGTCTAGATGAATCGGTCTAGATGGATCGGTCTAGATATACCAGACTACATCAACCAGTTTTACTGAACCAGTCTAGATCAACCAGTCTACATTGACTAGTCTAACTGAACCAGTCTTCAGTCCTGGCTGACCTTTACTGTGGGCCTTGGTGGTATTTACCTAATCAATCAGTGAACCCAGTGATCTAACCAGCAGCTTCTATCTAACTAAAATCTGCTCTATCCATCGGTTCTAGGTAAATTGTCTCTATGGTTTTAATAATCTCTCCCAGCAGAGATCAGAGACCTTCTTCGGCCTCTAGATTGTAGATGTGTCTAAATATTAAAGTCAGCAATCATATCAGATACGGAGGGACCTGAACGGTGGTGTTGAAGGACTGTTCTGATTCCTGCAGGGACTACCAGGATGTGGAGGCAGCCTTGGACGCCATGAAGAACGTGGCCAGGCTCATCAACGAGAGGAAACGGCGCCTGGAAAACATTGACAAGATCGCCCAGTGGCAGAGTTCAATAGAAGACTGGGAGGTCTGTCCCCAACGCTGTTCTGACATCTGTTAGCGGGCTGAGGAAAAGGTAGCATGAGTGTCTGTTCTGGCTCCCGCAGGGTGAGGACGTTCTGGTCAGAAGCTCTGAGCTCATCTTCTCTGGGGAGATGACCAAGCTATCCCAGCCACAGACCAAGGGCCAGCAGAGGATGTTCTTCCTCTTTGACCATCAGATGGTTTATTGCAAAAAGGTACTGAAGCCATTTTCTATTAAATCTGAGGCTCAGAAAGTATTAATGGTCTTCACCTTCCAGCCATTTGGTTGTCCTCCTAGCAGAGGGGAGGCCTTCTTAGAGCAGCTAGTATACAGTTGTTGTGCAAAATTATATCCTGCAGATAATGAATAAATGATTAACTAGAACTGGAGTTATAGTTAATTATTTAACTTATTCAAAATTGGGGGTAAAATCAATTTTGTGTTCTTAGTTGAATAATTGTAGCTTTAGTCTGCTTACTTACCAGGGTTTGTGGTTTCACCTCTGGATAGTTCCTGGAAAGGCTGTTTAAGTCCAGGTATCCACCAATCTAGTGACCCAGGCTAAGTTATCAGCAGAGCTATTAATTACCAATAAAGAAGCTTTTATCTCTGTTTATTCACACTGTTACCAAAGGGGGTGGATCTGACCTGAGTGATAAATCGTCCGCTATATGAAACACAGAACTACTACAAGTTAAACAATGACGTCTTTATTCTAATAATTCAGGATTACAGAAAATCTAACATCTATGCAAACACTACACTCTAGAAAATAAACACAAGGAGGAATAAATGAATAGTTTAAAAATAAAACCCTAAGAGTCAGTTTAAGTGGCTTCTGAGACTGTTGAAGATAGGCCAGATGTTAATACATTCACTAATGTCTGTTGGAATAGCAGCAGGTATAATAACAGTACAATTAATCAACATTAAAATAATACATTCAGCTTCAAATAGTTAAAATGCATTAAACAAACAGCAGCAGAAGTCGTTTTAGCAAAGGTATGTGTGTGTGGGGAAGGCATGTTAATGTATGAGAGACTCCCTCTTCATGTGATGGGGGGGGGTGGTAACACTGGCCCTCACCCACGTGACCACACACGGTTGAATGTGATAACTCTATAACTACTTTAAAGCAGAAACAACCAAAACCAGGACAGGAAAGAGAAGGAGGAAGAAATCTCGCCTGCAGCTTTCACAGCACAGTTATTTCAACCAATGAACCAGAACTCTTATAACCAACACAGATTAACATCAGCATCAATTTAGATCCCTGATCACCTGTCTCTCTCGCCGAGCGCAGCACCTCATTAATGCATCAAAAGAAAAGTGGAGGGATATTACTTTGAGATGCCTTCGGTCCGGGAGGGGGGGCTGGGGGTTACGATGGTCCGGCTCCAGCCACACGTGGGTCTTCTCCACCACAGGATCCGTTCTCAGAAAAGTTTCAGTTTGATGCTACAGCAGAGGGCCTGATGTGGTTGTAGGTGGAGGAAGTTAACTTACGGAGACTATAAAAAAAAAGGCGTCCCTTTGCTGATAGGCCGTGATTTCTGCAGCGAGGTCCTCAAAAAAAAGGAAGGGGGGGGGGACTCCACTCAGCATTCAGCTACGGAGGTTTCTGTCTCCCCAGTTAGCGCGGCCGCTATGCACGATGGGACACTGCGATCCGTGACTTTTGATGCAGGAAAATGAAAGCTACTTCCAGTTAGCTTTCTTTTAGCATTTCATGTGAAATGGGGTCTCTCCTTACAGGCGATGGAACCCAGGAGAAGGAGGAAGATTTAGTTTGTGCTCTGAGTTTTAAACCATGAGTGACGTAGGGGTATTCCTGTTGAAGTATCAGTCTGTCGGTCCGTTTTGGCTGGATCTCAGGTAGGAACCGGTTCCTATAACGCTGAAACCCAGAAGGTCACTGATTCTGCAGCAATCCCTCGAAGCAAGCAGCATTCAGGTCAGGTTCTCCTCAACCAGAGGAACTTTCTATGTTCGCCTTTAGTGGATCCATCCTGGAGAGGAATAGATGAGCTGTGATCCAGGATCCAGAGTCCAGGTCCAGTTCAGCCAGAGGAGACCGGTGGGAGACAGAAGAAGCTGAATAGGAAGGACAGGGCCAGGAGGGGGCTTCGTGCTGAACCTTCTGTTGTTGTTTCAGGACCTTCTGCGCAGAGACATCCTGTACTACAAGGGACGCATGGACATGGACCTGATAGATGTGATGGACGTGGAGGATGGCAGAGAGAAGGACTTCAACATCAGTGTGAAGAACGGTCTGAAGCTGCGGGTCCGGGGCAGCGACGAGGTCCACCTCCTGTGTACCAAGAAACCCGAACAGAAGCAGCGCTGGATCCGGGCCTTCGCAGAGGAGAGGAAGCAGGTCCACCAGGATCAGGAGACAGGTTTGACTTTATCTCAGCTTCCGGTTTAGTTCAGGGTAGAGGGAGCCGTTCAAAGCAGAACTTCCTCCCGACCCATCTGCAGGTCCGCAGGATGCTGATGTTCTCTGAAGAACCAGAGGCCAGAACCAGAACTTCCATCCAGGTTCTACAGGTTCAGCAGTTATCTTTGACTTTCAGGTTGTTTCGAGGTTCCTCTGGGTGACCCATTCTATTCAGTTTATTTCTACAGCTCTAGCCCACAACATCTAGTCTGGAGTCGCTCTCCAGAAACAATCCAATCAGTTCATTCAGCAGAACCAGAACCAGGCTCAGTGTGGGCGGCCATCTGCTGAGACTGACTGGTGTTCATGGGGACAGAGAAAAATAACATAGAAGCTCTGATCTATAAGCATTTTCTCTATTAACGGTAACAGTCTTAAGTGCTGATGGCAGCAGATCAGCTTACTGCTGTCCTTCTGACCTGGATGAGATGAAGGACGTAATCTGAAGGCTGATCTCTGCTTAAGAACGTTTCTCCATCTGTTTTTCAGGCTTCTCTCTCACCGAAGTCCAGAAGAAACAAGCCATGGTGAATGCCTTCAGAGGTCATCCAGCAGGGAAACCCAAAGGTCAGCAGCCTGGTTGCTCTTATAGTTCCAGAGCAGAACATCCAGTCTGTAGACCATCCAACATCAGCAAACACCTCTTTGGGCCCTCTTCAGGGTGACAGTGGAAGAGTTTGGACCACAACCAAGGAATCTGACCTTTCTGCCACTCTGAGCTCAATAAACAAACATTAAATACGGTGGGAGGGAAAATTTCTAATGTCAAAACATAGAAATAAAGTATTGACCTTGGACCGGTACCGGTACAGACAGCGGGACAGCTGGCCCTGATGGTCCCCTGCAGACTTTTTAGATTGGACCTGTCCTTTTTGGGAATAAGACAAACCACACAGAGATGCAATGCTGCAAGATTTTTTATCTTCAGGTCATGTTAGAACAGGTAATTAAACTTTAGAACCAGGCAGATGTTCTCTACTTTCATAGTTCTACTGAGGACAACAGCAGCAGTGTCTGGATCAACTGCAGCTGTCTAATCTACTTTCATAGTTCTACTGAGGACAACAGCAGCAGTGTCTGGATCAACTGCAGCTGTCTAATCTACTTTCATAGTTCTACTGAGGACAACAGCAGCAGTGTCTGGATCAACTGCAGCTGTCTGATCTACTTTCTTAGTTCTAGTGAGGATGCAGGCAGCAGCATCTAGATCAGCTGTCTGATTTACTTTCTTAGATGACATTTAAGTGACAGGTGACCCCGTACAGAAACCACATCCAGGCAAATGAGCTCTGAGGAACTAACAGACTCTGCAGAATAGGAGAATAGAGATAGAATGAAGCAGAATGATGAAAAAGGGGTCCCTATGTCCTCCAGCAGTCTAAGCCTATAGCAGCAGAACTATAGAGATAGCTCAGGATAACCTGAGCCACTCTAACTAGAAGCTTTATCAAAAAGGAAAGTTTTAAGCCTAGCCTTAAAAGTAGACAGGGTGTCTGCCTCACGGACTAAAACTGGTAGTTGGTTCCACAGGAGCCTGAGAACTAAAAGATCTGCCTCCCATTCTACTTTTAGAAATTCTAGGAACCACTAGTAAACCTGCAGATTGAGAGCGAAGTGCTCTGTTAGGAACATAAGGAACAATCAGATCTCTGATATCAGATGGAGCTTGGCCATTTAAGGCTTTATATGTGAGAAGGAGGATTTTAAATTCTATTCTGGATTTAACAGGAAGCCAATGAAGAGAAGCCAGGATAGGCGAGATATGATCTCTCTTTTTCATTTTCATCAGAACTCTGGCTGCAGCATTTTGGATCAGCTGAAGGCTTTTAACTACAGTTTGTGGACTTCCTGATAGTAAAGAATTACAATAGTCCAGCCTTGAAGTAACAAATGGGTCCAGTGGTTCTGGATGTTCTGCTCATTGATAAATGATGGAGCTTCACTTGTAGAGTCCGTGTTTGAAGGCAGCAGTGCTGGTCCAGCCTCTCATGTTCTGCTCTCTCTGCCCGCAGTGACCCGGCCGTATTGTGACTTCCTGCTACGTCAGAAACATCCGTCCCTCCCCACCGCCCTGCCCCAGCAGCAGGTCTTCATGCTGGCCGAGCCAAAGCGCAAAACCACCTTCTGGCATAACATAGGTAGACTGACACCTTTCAAGAAATGAACCAAAGCAGAGAGGAGCTCTCTGCTGGTGCCTGCATGGACCCTTTCAATGGTTCCTCTTTTCTTTCCCATCTAAACCTTTGATGGCTCATGGACCGGACAGGTGAAGCTGACTGTGATGGGATGGGGGCGGGCTGGTTTGAAAGCACTTTATTGGTTGGATAACAATCAGACATGGGAGCAGTCTCTGTGGACACTGGTCTAAACAGCAGAGGGAACCGCTCTGCTTCTTTAGACCTTCGACCTCTGCTGGGTGTAATGGACTTCTGACTGAAAAAGTTTCCTCCACTTCTCTATGCTTCTGTTCTATGATTTGCCAACTTCTTCTTCTGTTATTATCTGATAATGTGATATGGTTGCCTCCATGTTCATGCTGGTTCTGTCTGCTTTAAAAGGGAAACAGGTTGTGTTTTTGGATCCTTTCCAAGTTGTTTTCAGTGTCTTGTGGACTCTGTCTTTGGCTCTTCTTTGGAAGAACGATGCACCAAACTTGACTCCAGCCAAAGAAGATAAGGAAATTCCATTTCCTCATCAGACGAAGGTCCGAGGTCCGGAGGAACCATTAGCGCTTTGCTTCAGTCTGATGTTTGACTCTCCTCTCGTCTCCCACTGACTGAGAGAAACCAGCCGCTCTGAGCTCCTCTCCATGCCATGTTCTGTTGTTTTACACAGTGCCATCTGAGATGTGACACACATAGATATAACTATACTGTGAAGAAGTGTTTTTTATAACTCTGGTGAGTGCTGATGTAACCGAGCAGCCTCCTCCTCTTCTGGTTCTTTGATCTAGCAGTGCTTCTCGTCTCCAGTGTTCCTGCTCCGTGCTGGAGTCTGGCCTCAGATCAGCACAGCAGCTATGTCAACAACTTCTACTTTCTGTTCAAATGTTATCTGATATTAAACATTCCTTACAGAAACACTGACTCCTTATTAACATGGTTCCAGCTCTATATTCTAACAACTTTGTTTTATTTCTCAGTGTTTGTAGGTGGTGGACCAGATCCTGGAAATCTCTAATTAAAATTAGAGCGTAATGGTTAACTCTAATGGTAAGGCCTAATAGTAGAGCCTAATGGTTGAGCCTAATAGTAGAGCCTAATGCTAGACTGTAATGGTAAGGCAAAATGGTGGAGCCTAAAAGTAGTACCGAAAAATGAAATGACGTTTCCTTATCATTAAGGATAAAATATTGATCTTGCACATGTAAAAAAAATCTATATATTTTGAAATATTTTAGATTATAATTTAACATAAAGATTATAAAAACATATCTATGTTAAAATCTTTGTTATAGTGTAATGGTAGAGCCTAATAGTAGAATCTAATGGTAGGGCCTACTGGTAGAACATAATGGCAGAGCCCAATGGTAGAACCTTATGGTGGAACCTAATGGAAGATCCCAATGATAGAGCCCAATGTTATAACCTAATGTTACAGCCTAATGGTGGAACCTAATGTTAGAGCCTAATAGTAGAGCCCAATGGCAGAGCCCAATGTTAGAACCTAACCGTAGAACTTAATGGTAGAGACTCATGTTGGAGCCCAATGGTAGGACCTAATGGTAGAGTTTAAAGGTAGAATCAAATGGTAGAGCCTAATAGTAAAGCCCCTTGGAAGAACCTAACGATAGAGCCTAATAGTAAAACTTAACAGTAGAGCCTAATGGTAGAGCCTTATGTCATGGCCTAATGGTAGAGGCTAATGGTAGAGCCCAATGGTACAGCCTAACGGTAGGGCCAGATGGTAGATCCCCATGGTAGAGCCCAATGGTAGAACCTAATGGTAAAACGTAATGGTAGAATCTAATGGTAGAGCCCAGTGGTAGAACCAAATCGCAGAGCGTAATGGTAGAATCCAATGTTAGACCCAAATGGTAGATCCCTAATGTAGAGCCCAATGGTAGAACCTAAATGTAGAGCGTAATGGTAGAAACTAATGGTAGAGCCTATTGGAAGAACCTAATGGTAGAGCCTAAAGGTAGAATCTAATGGTAGAGCCTAATGGTAGAGCCTATTGAAAGAACATAATGGTAGAGCCTATTGGAAGAACCTAATGGTAGAGCCTAAAGGTAGAATCTAATGGTAGAGGCTAATGGTAGACTCTAATAGCTGAGCCTAATGTTCGAGCCCAATGGTAGAGTCCAATGTTAGAACCTAACCATAGAGCCTAATGGTAGAGCCCAATGGTACAACCTAATGGTATAGCCTAATGGTAGATCCCTATGGTAGAGCCAAATAGTAGAACCTAATTGTAGAGCCTAATGGTAGAATCTAAAGGTAGAGTCTAATGGTAGAACCTAATTGTAGGATCTAATGGTAGAACATAATGGTAGAGCCTAATGGTAAATTATAATGGTATAATCTAAAGCTAGAGTATAATGGTATAGCTGAATGGAAGGGCCTAATGGTAGAGCCTAGTGGTAGAACATAATGGTAGAGGCTAGTTGTTATGATTCTGGCCTTCCTGCTGGTTTTACCCTCTGCTCTGTGTCAGCAATGAAGTTTAATTTAAGCCTAAAGGTAGACTCTAATGGTAGATGATAATGGTAGAGCCTAATAGTAGAATCTAATGGTAGAGCCTAATGGTAGAGCCTATTAAAAGAACATAATGGTAGAGCCTAATAGTAGAATCTAATGGTAGAGGCTAATGGTAGACTCTAATAGCTGAGCCTAATGTTCGAGCCCAATGGTAGAGTCCAATGTTAGAACCTAACCATAGAGCCTAATGGTAGAGCCCAATGGTACAACCTAATGGTATAGCCTAATGGTAGATCCCTATGGTAGAGCCAAATAGTAGAACCTAATTGTAGAGCCTAATGGTAGAATCTAAAGGTAGAGTCTAATGGTAGAACCTAATTGTAGGATCTAATGGTAGAACATAATGGTAGAGCCTAATGGTAAATTATAATGGTATAATCTAAAGCTAGAGTATAATGGTATAGCTGAATGGAAGGGCCTAATGGTAGAGCCTAGTGGTAGAACATAATGGTAGAGGCTAGTTGTTATGATTCTGGCCTTCCTGCTGGTTTTACCCTCTGCTCTGTGTCAGCAATGAAGTTTAATTTAAGCCTAAAGGTAGACTCTAATGGTAGAGCCTAATAGTAGAATCTAATGGTAGAGGCTAATGGTAGACTCTAAAGGTTGAGCCTAATAGTAGAATCTAACGGTAGAGGCTAATGATAGACTCTAATAGTAGAGGCTAATGTTAGAGCCCAATGGTAGAGCCCAATGTTAGAACCTAACCATAGAGCCTAATGGTAGAGCCTAATGGCAGAAACTGATAGTAGAGCCAAATGGTAGATCCCTATGGTAGAGCCCAATGGTAGAACCTAATAGTAGAATCTAATGACGGAGCCCAATGGTAGAACCTAATGGTAGAATCTAATGAAAGAGCCTAATGGTAGACACCTAACGGTAGACCCCAAATGGTAGAGCCCTAACGGTAGACCCCTAATGGTAGACCCCTAATGGTAGACCTCTCACGGTAGAGCCCTAATGGTAGACCCCTAACGGTAGAGCCCTAACAGTAGATCCCTAATAGTAGACCCCTAATGGTAGACCTCTCACGGTAGAGCCCTAATGGTAGACCCCTAACGGTAGAGCCCTAACAGTAGATTCCTAATAGTAGACCCCTAATGGTAGACCTCTCACGTTAGAGCCCTAATGGTAGAGCCCTAATGGTAGAGCCCTAACAGTAGACCCCTAACAGTAGACACCTAATGGTAGAGCCCTAATGGTAGACACTTAACATTAGAGCCCTAATGGTAGATCCCTAATGGTAGACCCCTAATGGTAGAGCCCTAACAGTAGACCCCTAAAGGTTGAGCCCTAATGGTAGACCCCTATCAGTAGAACCCTAACAGTAGACCCTTCACGGTAGAGCCCTAATGGTAGGCCCCTAACAGTAGGGCCCTAACAGTAGACCCCTAATGGTAGACACCTAACGGTAGACCCCAAATGGTAAAGCCCTAACAGTAGACCCCTAATTGTAGAGTCCTAATGTTAGACACCTAACGGTAGAGCCCTAACTGTAGATCCCTAATAGTAGACCCCTAATGGTAGACCTCTCACGGTTGAGCCCTAATGGTAGAGCCCTAACAGTAGACTGCTAACAGTAGACACCTAATGGTAGACCCTTAATGGTAGAGCCCTAACAGTAGACCCCTAATGGTAGACACCTAACGTCAGAGCCCTAATGGTAGAGCCCTAACAGTAGACCCCTAATGGTAGACACCTAACGTCAGAGCCCTAATGGTAGAGCCCTAACGGTAGAGCCCCAATGGTAGAGCCCTTATGGTAGAGCCCTAACAGTAGACCCCTAATGGTAGACACCTAACGGTAGACCCCAAATGGTAAAGCCCTAACAGTAGACCCCTAATTGTAGAGTCCTAATGTTGGACACCTAACGGTAGAGCCCTAACTGTAGATCCCTAACAGTAGACCCCTAATGGTAGACCTCTCACGGTTGAGCCCTAATGGTAGAGCCCTAACAGTAGACTGCTAACAGTAGACACCTAATGGTAGACCCTTAATGGTAGAGCCCTAACAGTAGACCCCTAATGGTAGACACCTAACGTCAGAGCCCTAATGGTAGAGCCCTAACAGTAGACCCCTAATGGTAGACACCTAACGTCAGAGCCCTAATGGTAGAGCCCTAACGGTAGAGCCCCAATGGTAGAGCCCTTATGGTAGAGCCCTAACAGTAGACCCCTAATGGTAGACACCTAACGTCAGAGCCCTAATGGTAGAGCCCTAACTGTAGATCCCTAATAGTAGACCCCTAATGGTAGACCTCTCACGGTTGAGCCCTAATGGTAGAGCCCTAACAGTAGACTGCTAACAGTAGACACCTAATGGTAGACCCTTAATGGTAGAGCCCTAACAGTAGACCCCTAATGGTAGACACCTAACGTCAGAGCCCTAATGGTAGAGCCCTAACAGTAGACCCCTAATGGTAGACACCTAATGTCAGAGCCCTAATGGTAGAGCCCTAACGGTAGAACCCCAATGGTAGAGCCCTTATGGTAGAGCCCTAACAGTAGTAGCCTAACGGTAGAAAAACAGAGACATCTAATAGGAGACTTTGTCGGCAGAGGACCGTTAAAGTTCTTCAGAAATGCAGTGTGGAGCCATGCAGAGGTTCACAAAGTTCGCATTACAGAAACAGGAAGTTGGGACTTTGTTAAAATTTTATTGTATAATATTCCATATCATCTGCTCATGATAACAGAGTTACACCAACTACTGAAGCAAGATGCTATTCTAAATTCTCAGAGCTATGTGGCAGTATAACAGTGGAAACAGGTCTAGCTCAGTAGATGTAGCAGACAGCAGTTCCAACGTTAGGATGGTATAGGATTCAGCAGAATCTAAAGGGCATTAAAAGTTTTCTGCCTAATATCTAAATCCAGCTAAGATGAGGCAGACATATTTTATATGAGGCTGTGTGCGTGATGGAGAACAAAACAAGGGCAGACTGGAACTGAGCTGCTGCCCTAGAAAGATGTTTCCCCTCTGTTCAGGACGCTTACTTCACCTCAGGGGCGTCAATACTATACAGCGGCACAATAGGGCACCAAAAAAAAAAATGCGGGCACGCAAGGCGCTTGGGCAAAACATTTTTTTGGGAAATTATTTATTTAAAAAAAGCATTGGCTCAGATCATTAATGCAAGCATGCAAGGAAATACTTTAAAGCACCTATTTATTATTATAAAGCGTCATAAATTTATTGTACAATCAGATTATTTTCTGCATCATTAAATATCTACCTGAACCAAACTGAATTGAATTGACCCACTTGTGAACTTAACTGTATGTAATCAACTACTGATGAAAGCACAATTTATCTCCATAAATATCTGTCAGCAAACATGAACCTGAAAACTTGAAATGTGCAACTGTAAAAGAAAACAACAAACAAAAGACATGGTCCTATGACGGTGTGATGGTGATGATCCTATGACGGTTCTGATGGTGAAGATCCTATGACGGTGTGATGGTGATGATCCTATGATGGTGTATATCATGGCCAGAAAGATGGGAAAGCTGGAGTTAGCGTCTCGGCTACGTTTTAGCGAAGCTGTCGATCAGCTGTGACTGGCTTAATTTGGAGAGTTCTCCAAACCAACCGACATGATGGCGGATGGTGAAGGCTGTCTTGCCCCATTCTGCTCCTCATAATTATGATCTTAATTAAATTTCTGCCCAACGGGATTCATACATTGTTTTCTGTATTGAACGGTAATCAGCATTAATTATAAACTTGCTGCCGTTTCTCCTCTTTCTCCTCTCAGCGGTGGGAGCGCTCACCCGGCTGGAGGAGTGTCTGTTGAGCTGGTGAGGCCTGGCAGCTCATCCATCTGTACTGCGGATCTTACAGTTGGAGCCAGAGCGGACCTGGCATTACATGGCTTAGTTTCTGCATCCATCGCTCACTTCTAATCTATCCTGAGGATTTTTCTCTTGCCTCATTTGTTTCCCACCTGGTTATCAGTTAGGTTGTACAATCAATGTTATAATCAGTGATTCTTTACTAGGACCACTGTGTTTCTTTATGATAAGATATGACAAACTCCTGGCTCTGTGTTAAAGGCAACTCTGGGGCTGCTGCATGCTCAGAGTGGCCGTTACTGGAAGTGGATTCTGATTACTCCTTCTGCATATGTCAGATTTAAATTCTAACTACAGTGGTAGTCTATAGGACTATTTTAAGAAAAAAAATGTAAACATACATTCTGTAGATTTCCCCATTCATTTTTTAAAAGGCATAATTAAATAAATCAATAAAAAAATCAGTGCCCCAGGCATACCCAGGCACCGCAGATCCACAACGGGGCAGTGCCCCTGTTAAAAGCCGATGCTTCACCTCTTGGCTGATTGGGCATACTGCGAAGCATAGGACCTCCTGATGTTCTCATCCCCTTCCATCTCTGCTCCAGATTCCTCCTCTTCATCTTCCTCTTCTTCATCTTCATCCTCTTCCTGTGCTAGCTCCTCCTCCTCCATGCCTCCATGGCGTTTTGGGTTGATGTGAGGCTGTAAAAGAAGACCAGCATGTCCAGCATGTGTTCTTCATTAGCCCAGATCATGCTCAGACTTACTGTGCTCACTGATCCATGGTGCTGACTGGGCTGCTGTCTGCGGCTGTGGTCAGAGGTCTCTGGGGAGTCCAGGGCCCGGCCCCTCCAGGAGCCCAGAGGAAGGCTGGAGTAATGGGCTGTTGGGGGAGGCGAGCGGCTGCTGATGGAGCGTTCTAGAGGCCACATCTGGGAGTCAAGCATCCTAATTCTGCCAGTGAAGAGCTGTGACAGGGGAGGAGGTCATACCATTCACTGCTGAAGCCTAACTGAGCTAACTCTAGAGATTTCAGATCATCCAGTGGGCTGCAGCATCAAAGAACACCTGAGTTCAAACTTTTTTCAAATCTAGACATCATTAGTTACAGAAAAATGCTAATGACATCATCAACAGAGGGAGAAAACCTGAAAGATACTGGGCCTTCAGCTGTTCAAGTCATTGCACTGAAGCTTGTAGTTCTAATTTGACTTGCATCATTCAGGTGTGTTTCTGTCTCATAATGGCATTCATTAAGGCAAAGTGTTCTTCTGTGGTCCCAAGAAAGATAAAGGATCAGGAACTACACTAACTACACAGACTGGAACTACAGGAACAGGAACTATAACAACAGGAAATACAGGATAGGAAATACAGGAACGGGAACTACAGGAACTACAGGGACAGGGACTACATGAACTATAGGAACAGAACCTACAGGAACAGCAGTGAAAGGAACTACAGGAACAGGAGCTACAGAAACTACAAGAACAGAAACTCTAGGAAAAGGAACAAAAGGAGCTACAGGAACAGGATCTGTAGGAACAGGTACTACAGAAACAGGAACTACAGGAAAAGGAACTATAGGAACAGTACCTATGGTAGCAGGAACTATGAGAAAAGGAACTGTAGGAACAGGAACTACAGGAACAGGATCTACAGAAACAACAGGAACTGTAGGAAGAGCTACTGTAGGAACTGGAACTGTAGGCACAGGAACTGTAGAAACAGGAACTACAAGAACAGGAACTACAGAAACTACAGGAACAGGAACTACAGGAACATGAGCTACAGAAACTACATGAACAAAAACTCTAGGAAAAGGAACTAAAGGAGCTACAGGAACAGGATCTGTAGGAACAGGTACTACAGGAGCAAGAACTAAAGAAACTACAGGAACATGAACTACAGGGACAGGAACTACAGGAACTGTAGGAACAGGAACTACAGGAACAGCAACTACAAGAACAGGAACTACAGAAACTACAGGAACAGGAACTATAGGAACAGGAACTACAGGAGCAAGAACTAAAGAAACTACAGGAACATGAACTACAGGGACAGGAACTACAGGAACTGTAGGAACAGGAACTACAGGAACAGCAACTATAACAACAGGAACTATTTTTCAATTCAATTCAGTTTATTTATATAGCGCCAAATTCACAACACATGTCATCTCAAGGCACTTTACAGTTCAACCAGATCAAATTGATACAAAGTTTTCTATCTAAGGAAAACCAGTTGATTGCATTGACTCATTGACTCAAATACAATCCCCCACACTAAGCATGCTTGTAGCGACAGTGGAGAGGAAAAACTCCCTTTTAACAGGAAGAAACCTCCAGCAGAACCAGGCTCAGTGTGAGCGGCCATCTGCCGAGGCCGACTGGGGTTCAAGGAGACAGAAGCAGACATAGAAAAAGCAGCTGTAAAAGGCGGCCCCGTCCAGGAAACACACAGCCAGGCAGACGAGCTCCAAGGCAGCTCCCATGCCAGAGGACGAAGAAAGCACATCCACTCAGTCACGGTCAGAGAAACAGGACCACACTGGAAAACAGGCCGATCTCCAACATCTATAAACAAGGGTGTTGATAGAAGCAGCACAGCTGATGTTTCTTTCCAGGATGACGTCACAGCCAAACAGGAACAGACGAGGCAAAGCTACTCTGAGGAAAAGCAGAGAGAGCAGAAGGTTAGAGATTGAACTAACAGATTCTGCAGAATAGGAGAACAGAGAGAGAATGAAGCAGAATGATGAAATGGGGGTCCCTATGTCCTCCAAAAGTCTAAGCCTATAGCAGCATAACTATAGAGATAGCTCAGGATAACCTGAGCCACTCTAACTATAAGCTTTATCAAAAAGGAAAGTTTTAAGCCTAGCCTTAAAAGTAGACAGGGTGTCTGCCTCACGGACTAAAACTGGTAGTTGGTTCCACAGGAGAGGAGCCTGATAACTAAAAGATCTGCCTCCCATTCTACTTTTAGAAATTCTAGGAACCACTAGTAAACCTGCAGATTGAGAGCGAAGTGCTCTGTTAGGAACATAAGGAACAATCAGATCTCTGATATCAGATGGAGCTTGGCCATTTAAGGCTTTATATGTGAGAAGGAGGATTTTAAATTCTATTCTTGATTTAACAGGAAGCCAATGAAGAGAAGCCAGGATAGGCGAGATATGATCTCTCTTTTTAATTTTCATTAGAACTCTGGCTGCAGCATTTTGGATCAGCTGAAGGCTTTTAACTACAGTTTGTGGACTTCCTGATAGTAAAGAATTACAATAGTCCAGCCTTGAAGTAACAAATGCATGGACTAGTTTCTCAGCATCACCCCTGGACAGGATATTTCTAATTTTTGCAATGTTCCTCAGATGAAAGAAGGAAATTCTAGAAACCTCTTTGATGTGGGATTTAAATGACAGGTCCTGATCAAAAACAACACCAAGATTTTTTACTTTATTATCTGAAATCAGTTTAATCCCATCCAAATGAAGTGACTGGCTAATCAGTTTCTTTTTCAGAGACTCTGGTCCAAAGACTATAACTTCTGTTTTGTCTGCATTCAGAACTATAGGAACAGAAACTATGGGAACGGGAACAGGGGGAACAGGAACTACAGGAAATAAAAGAACAGGAACTAAAGGAACTAGAAGAACAGGAAATACAAGAACAGGAACTATAGGACCAAGAACTATAGGAACAGGAACTAGAAGAACAGCAACTGTAGGACCAGGAACTCTAGCAACAGGAAATTAGCAGCTCCATGCTGCTGAGTAGATGAGGCCCTTGAAGTTTCCCGCTTCCTCTCTTGATTCATTATTTGAGTTGTTGGTTTTATTTGTTTATTTTTTTTATTCAGGTTCCTCTTTTCTGATGCCAGCGTTCATTTGATGATCTGAAATAGTTCTGTTCTCTTTCTGTTCAGACTGTTCCAGCTTAGATACAGACCTCCAGGTCCTTCTCTGCATTCATGGCCTCCATGTTTTGGTACGTGTGGGAGAAGACCTCCAATGCTTTAGCATGAAAGAGCATCTCAACTGTGAGGAACTCTCTGAAAATGTTCTGCAAAGAGAAAGAACAAAGGGGGTTTAAAGAAGGAAGCAGTATCTGCTCGGCGATATGTGAACAGATCCAGACTTTAACATCTTCCAGTTTCTGCCTCTGGAAATGGGTCATGGTCTCCTCGAAGTGCTTGATGCTTTGCTGGGCGTTGGTGGAAGCCCTCTGAGCATCAACCTCTGCCTGCAAAAGCAACATGGTCTCATCTCACGGACTGTTGGCTCTGAAATACCAGGCTTTTCAAAATGATTTTACCTGAGCCTGCAGACATGAAGCAAGTCAAGGAAAATGATCTCAGTTAGATGATTGATCAGAGCGTATCGGCAGCCCTGGTCCTTCTGTGCACCCCTGATCAGACCAGGATGGACAAACCAAACCCTGGGAAGGCGCATTGGGCAGGTCAGAGTGTTTACATGTCTGCTTCTAATACTTCTACAGCAGGACTGATGTTGATGCTGTTCTTTTAACCCAGATAGAAACGCAGTGAAAGGAGTTGATGTTGTTCCCTTAACTAGGATAGAAACGCAGTGAAAGGAGTTGATGTTGTTCCCTTAACTAGGATAGAAACGCAGTGAAAGGAGTTGATGTTGTTCCCTTAACTATGATAGAAACGCAGTGAAAGGAGTTGATGTTGTTCCCTTAACTATGATAGAAACGCAGTGAAAGGAGTTGATGTTGTTCCCTTAACTTGGATAGAAACGCAGTGAAAGGAGTTGATGTTGTTCCCTTAACTAGGATAGAAACGCAGTGAAAGGAGTTGATGTTGTTCCCTTAACTGTGATAGAAACGCAGTGAAACGAGTTGATGTTGTTCCCTTAACTAGGATAGAAACGCAGTGAAAGGAGTTGATGTTGTTCCCTTAACTAGGATAGAAACGCAGTGAAAGGAGTTGATGTTGTTCCCTTAACTAGGATAGAAACGCAGTGAAACGAGTTGATGTTGTTCCTTTAACTGGATAGAAACGCAGTGAAAGGAGTTGATGTCGTTCCCTTAACTAGGATAGAAACGCAGTGAAAGGAGTTGATGTTGTTCCCTTAACTAGGATAGAAACGCAGTGAAAGGAGTTGATGTTGTTCCCTTAACTAGGATAGAAACGCAGTGAAAGGAGTTGATGTTGTTCCCTTAACTAGGATAGAAACGCAGTGAAAGGAGTTGATGTTGTTCCTTTAACTGGATAGAAACGCAGTGAAAGGAGTTGATGTCGTTCCCTTAACTAGGATAGAAACGCAGTGAAAGGAGTTGATGTTGTTCCCTTAACTATGATAGAAACGCAGTGAAAGGAGTTGATGTTGTTCCTTTAACTGGATAGAAACGCAGTGAAACGAGTTGATGTTGTTCCCTTAACTATGATAGAAACGCAGTGAAAGGAGTTGATGTTGTTCCCTTAACTTGGATAGAAACGCAGTGAAAGGAGTTGATGTTGTTCCCTTAACTAGGATAGAAACGCAGTGAAAGGAGTTGATGTTGTTCCCTTAACTATGATAGAAACGCAGTGAAACGAGTTGATGTTGTTCCCTTAACTAGGATAGAAACGCAGTGAAAGGAGTTGATGTTGTTCCCTTAACTTGGATAGAAACGCAGTGAAAGGAGTTGATGTTGTTCCCTTAACTAGGATAGAAACGCAGTGAAAGGAGTTGATGTTGTTCCTTTAACTATGATAGAAACGCAGTGAAAGGAGTTGATGTTGTTCCCTTAACTATGATAGAAACGCAGTGAAAGGAGTTGATGTTGTTCCCTTAACTATGATAGAAACGCAGTGAAAGGAGTTGATGTTGTTCCCTTAACTATGATAGAAACGCAGTGAAACGAGTTGATGTTGTTCCCTTAACTAGGATAGAAACGCAGTGAAAGGAGTTGATGTTGTTCCCTTAACTAGGATAGAAACGCAGTGAAAGGAGTTGATGTTGTTCCCTTAACTAGGATAGAAACGCAGTGAAAGGAGTTGATGTTGTTCCCTTAACTATGATAGAAACGCAGTGAAAGGAGTTGATGTTGTTCCCTTAACTATGATAGAAACGCAGTGAAAGGAGTTGATGTTGTTCCCTTAACTTGGATAGAAACGCAGTGAAAGGAGTTGATGTTGTTCCCTTAACTATGATAGAAACGCAGTGAAAGGAGTTGATGTTGTTCCCTTAACTTGGATAGAAACGCAGTGAAACGAGTTGATGTTGTTCCCTTAACTAGGATAGAAACGCAGTGAAAGGAGTTGATGTTGTTCCCTTAACTATGATAGAAACGCAGTGAAACGAGTTGATGTTGTTCCCTTAACTAGGATAGAAACGCAGTGAAAGGAGTTGATGTTGTTCCCTTAACTAGGATAGAAACGCAGTGAAAGGAGTTGATGTTGTTCCCTTAACTAGGATAGAAACGCAGTGAAAGGAGTTGATGTTGTTCCCTTAACTATGATAGAAACGCAGTGAAAGGAGTTGATGTTGTTCCCTTAACTATGATAGAAACGCAGTGAAAGGAGTTGATGTTGTTCCCTTAACTTGGATAGAAACGCAGTGAAAGGAGTTGATGTTGTTCCCTTAACTAGGATAGAAACGCAGTGAAAGGAGTTGATGTTGTTCCCTTAACTATGATAGAAACGCAGTGAAAGGAGTTGATGTTGTTCCCTTAACTATGATAGAAACGCAGTGAAACGAGTTGATGTTGTTCCCTTAACTAGGATAGAAACGCAGTGAAAGGAGTTGATGTTGTTCCCTTAACTAGGATAGAAACGCAGTGAAAGGAGTTGATGTTGTTCCCTTAACTAGGATAGAAACGCAGTGAAAGGAGTTGATGTTGTTCCTTTAACTGGATAGAAACGCAGTGAAAGGAGTTGATGTCGTTCCCTTAACTAGGATAGAAACGCAGTGAAAGGAGTTGATGTTGTTCCCTTAACTAGGATAGAAACGCAGTGAAAGGAGTTGATGTTGTTCCCTTAACTAGGATAGAAACGCAGTGAAAGGAGTTGATGTTGTTCCCTTAACTAGGATAGAAACGCAGTGAAAGGAGTTGATGTTGTTCCTTTAACTGGATAGAAACGCAGTGAAAGGAGTTGATGTCGTTCCCTTAACTAGGATAGAAACGCAGTGAAAGGAGTTGATGTTGTTCCCTTAACTAGGATAGAAACGCAGTGAAAGGAGTTGATGTTGTTCCCTTAACTAGGATAGAAACGCAGTGAAAGGAGTTGATGTCGTTCCTTTAACTTGGATAGAGACGCAGTAAAAGGAGTTGATGTTGTTCCTTTAACTAGGATAGAAAGGCAGTGAAAGGAGTTGATGTTGTTCCTTTAACTGGATAGAAACGCAGTGAAAGGAGTTGATGTTGTTCCTTTAACTAGGATAGAAAGGCAGTGAAAGGAGTTGATGTTGTTCCTTTAACTGGATAGAAACGCAGTGAAAGGAGTTGATGTTGTTCCTTTAACTAGGATAGAAACGCAGTGAAAGGAGTTGATGTTGTTCCCTTAACTAGGATAGAAAGGCAGTGAAAGGAGTTGATGTTGTTCCTTTAACTGGATAGAAACGCAGTGAAAGGAGTTGATGTTGTTCCTTTAACTAGGATAGAAACGCAGTGAAAGGAGTTGATGTTGTTCCCTTAACTATGATAGAAACGCAGTGAAAGGAGTTGATGTTGTTCCTTTAACTGGATAGAAACGCAGTGAAAGTAGTTGATGTCGTTCCTTTAACTCGGATAGAAAGGCAGTGAAAGGAGTTGATGTTGTTCCCTTAACTAGGATAGAAACGCAGTGAAAGGAGTTGATGTTGTTCCCTTAACTAGGATAGAAACGCAGTGAAAGGAGTTGATGTTGTTCCTTTAACTGGATAGAGACGCAGTGAAAGGAGTTGATGTTGTTCCCTTAACTAGGATAGAAAGGCAGTGAAAGGAGTTGATGTTGTTCCCTTAACTAGGATAGAAACGCAGTGAAAGGAGTTGATGTTGTTCCCTTAACTAGGATAGAAAGGCAGTGAAAGGAGTTGATGTTGTTCCCTTAACTAGGATAGAAACGCAGTGAAAGGAGTTGATGTTGTTCCTTTAACTGGATAGAAAGGCAGTGAAAGGAGTTGATGTTGTTCCCTTAACTAGGATAGAAACGCAGTGAAAGGAGTTGATGTTGTTCCTTTAACTGGATAGAAACGCAGTGAAAGGAGTTGATGTTGTTCCTTTAACTGGATAGAAACGCAGTGAAAGGAGTTGATGTTGTTCCTTTAACTCGGATAGAAAGGCAGTGAAAGTAGTTGATGTCGTTCCTTTAACTCGGATAGAGACGCAGTAAAAGGAGTTTATGTCGTTCCTTTAACTCGGATAGAGACGCAGTAAAAGGAGTTTATGTCGTTCCTTTAACTCGGATAGAAAGGCAGTGAAAGGAGTTGTGTCGTTCCTTTAACTCGGATAGAGACGCAGTGAAAGGAGTTTATGTCATTTTCTTTAACTCGGATAGAGACGCAGTGAAAGGAGTTGTGTCGTTCCTTTAACTCGGATAGAGACGCAGTGAAAGGAGTTTATGTCATTTTCTTTAACTCGGATAGAGACGCAGTAAAAGGAGTTTATGTCGTTTTCTTTAACTCGGATAGAGACGCAGTGAAAGTAGTTGATGTCGTTCCTTTAACTCGGATAGAAACGCAGTGAAAGGAGTTTATGTCGTTTTCTTTAACTCGGATAGAGACGCAGTGAAAGTAGTTGATGTCGTTCCTTTAACTCGGATAGAAAGGCAGTGAAAGGAGTTGATGTTGTTCCCTTAACTAGGATAGAAACGCAGTGAAAGGAGTTGATGTTGTTCCTTTAACTGGATAGAAACGCAGTGAAAGGAGTTGATGTCGTTCCCTTAACTAGGATAGAAACGCAGTGAAAGGAGTTGATGTTGTTCCCTTAACTATGATAGAAACGCAGTGAAAGGAGTTGATGTTGTTCCTTTAACTGGATAGAAACGCAGTGAAACGAGTTGATGTTGTTCCCTTAACTATGATAGAAACGCAGTGAAAGGAGTTGATGTTGTTCCCTTAACTTGGATAGAAACGCAGTGAAAGGAGTTGATGTTGTTCCCTTAACTAGGATAGAAACGCAGTGAAAGGAGTTGATGTTGTTCCCTTAACTATGATAGAAACGCAGTGAAACGAGTTGATGTTGTTCCCTTAACTAGGATAGAAACGCAGTGAAAGGAGTTGATGTTGTTCCCTTAACTTGGATAGAAACGCAGTGAAAGGAGTTGATGTTGTTCCCTTAACTAGGATAGAAACGCAGTGAAAGGAGTTGATGTTGTTCCTTTAACTATGATAGAA